CTGACCAAGTTCAGAGGCTGTCATATGTGGATTAACCATGTTGTGTATTTTCAACAATTTCAATATGAAAAATAACTTTTATAATGATTCAATTGATTTATTGCATTTTGGGAAAAAAGAAAAAAAAAGAAGAAAAAAAAAACGTGTCATGGATTTATTGCATTTTGGGGGGGAAATAATACAATTTTATAATAAATCTTTGAAAATCAAAATCTGGAAGTATTAATCTAGCCATAAACGTTTGCCTTTTTTTTTTTTTCAGTATTCCAGTTTTATAGACATGAGCAGGGTTTGAAATTAACACCCGCCAACCCGCCAAATGTGGGTAAAAATCAGCTGTGGTGGGTAACGCGGTCAAATCACTAGCCAGTTTGGTGGGTTACTTTTTATAAGGGGGTTGGAAAATGTATATATTTATATAAATTCATATAGTTCATATCACACGAAGAGTGCCGTTTAAAAAAAAATAATCAGCATGGTTACAAATGTGATATTGATTTTATACAACAGTTCAATAAACAATAAGTTAATATCAAGAGACTTACGTTTTAGACACCATATTGGCTGTTTTTGCGTTATTTCGCCAACAGAAAACATTCCATTCCAATGTACAACATTCCAAACACAGCGCTGTTTTGCGTCTCTGAGCAAAATCAACCGTTTAAATGATTCGGTTCATTCGCAATTACTCACTTAACAGTAACTTGCTGCCACCTACTGGCAGATTTAATTTCACATTTAAAGTATCCTTTAATTTTTTAAATAATTTAAATATCACTATTCAACATTTCATATTTAAAATATCAAAACATTATTTATGCATTTGTAACTGCAGCTTAAAGCATCCCATGTCCCTCTAAGCTGCATTAACATGTGTAAATACATCTAAATGCCACTTCATATGCAACTTCTGCAAAGATGAATTTTATTGATACTGATTTCATTTGTTTAGTAACAGCCTAAATGTAGTATTGTTATAATTGCCTGATTAAATGTAAGAATTTGACTCAAAAGATGATGCACACTTTTAGTAAAAATGGATTTATAAAGGTAAAAATGCCCATAAAAGGTAAAAATCAATCTAAACCTATTGGAAAATATTAATTTCTATCACTACTGTGAACTGACCACACAGAATATGAAGAATATCAAAAACTTTAGGAGCTGTCCACGGTAGTCCTTAAGATATCAGCACAATAACAAACTCAGCAAAATATTGTCTAATTATCTTTATCAATAAAATCCCAGAAAACATTGAGATATTATTTTTTGTCAATATCGCACACCCTTAGTACCGACAAAATGATTTGCAACAGTCGCTTTGTCATGTAGACAGCCTCAAGCTGTTGGTTTATTTCGGGGTTTTTTTGGCTGGTAGAAGTTATGAATGGCCGGTAACTTAAAAATTTAGTAGCCAAATTGGCTGGTGAGTAAAAAAAGTTAATTTCAATCCCTGTGATGGATTTATAGCGTTTTGGAACCAAACTCTTCATATATTCTTTCATATAATTTCCCTCCTTCAGTCATGTTTTCACACAAAACGAAACTACTCTGCGTGTTGCGTGAGACTCTTAATAACTTTGATTAAAGCTGAACTGTATTTACTGTGAGTTTATCAAATCGCGATAATCAAATACGGATTTGTTTCAGCTTTTGTCTTCTCCAGATGTTAACTGATGGACTGGAGTGGTGTAGATTACTTGTGGATTATTGTGATGTTTTTATCAGCTGTTTGGACTCTCATTCTGACGGTACCCATTCACTGCAGAGCATCCATTGGTAAGACACTGATGCAATGCAACATTTCTCCAAATCTGATGAAGAAACAAACTCCTCTACACTTTGGACGACCTAATGGCCAATATATTTTCAGCAGATTTTCAGTTTTGGGTGAACTATTTCTTGAAGTCAAGTACTAAACCCAAACCATCAGACTGACCTCAGACTGTCGTGATTCGGGTCTCGCCTCGTCCTTCTCGTCCTGAACTGGAGTAGCGCTGCCATCATCTGAACAAATACAAATACAGAGTCTTGCTACTTTGATGCATTATATGGTAATTCATGTTTATCATACTCCTACACCATGGTTTTACATGGTGCACCATTTATATAGCACAATTCCCCAGTGTAAATGACCAAAAACATGGTATTCCCATTGTATGTGTCCAAAAAACATGAAAATACCATGGTACTTTGATGAATTATATGGTAATGCGTGTTTACTATAGTCATACACCATGCTACGCCAACATACTTCAAAGAATACCATGTTGTTACTGTAGTAAATGCACAAATACACGGTGTTACCATGGCACTTATTCACAAAACAAGAAAATACCACAGTAATTTGATTAATTATATGGTAATCAGTGTTGGTAATACTAGTTACTCCTTTCAAAAGTAATATTATTACTTTACTTATTGGCAACAGTAATAATTAGTTACATTACTTTTCTTTCATACCCCACATAAGATGCATATCTTCCCCATAAAATTCTAATAAAATGTTACAAACAATATATTTCTGCCTCACAATCCACATTGATTGGATCACAGTCAGAAGTTATTTCAAACACTCAGTGGTGATTCATAGTAGCAAAGTGTTGTATTAATCTCATTAATTGTCATGTGTAGCTTGAAGCTAATATAATTAAGATTATATTCCATGCTGTATTTTATGAAAAGAACTCATATAAGCTCATAAGAAAATGTTTCATTCTCTAAAAAGATTTTATAGAATATTCAGTAGGGGTTGAGGCATCGAAAGTAAGTAACTAGCTGTTTTATGGATAGTAACTACTAGTTACTGCAAAAAGTAATATTACTACTGTAACTAGTTACTAATAACTAGTTGCTGCCCAGTACTGATGGTAATGCATGTTTACTATAGCCATACACCATGCTACGCCTACGTACTTCAAGGAATACCGTGGTATTACCGTGATATTACCACGGTAGTGTTGCCTAAGAGTCTGGGATAAGAGCAGTGTGTTGTGGTTGTTGTAAGGTTACCTGAACGGATCTCCTCGTCTCCGTCCATCTGGACTGAGGACAGAACCGCACTGCTTCAGTTTCTCCCGAACACACACAAACACACAACAATAACAACAATACACCCAGAACAGACGCTGAGCTGATGTCGGAGCCCGGCTCTTCTGTGGACCAGCGAGGATCTTCTATCTGTCCCTGTTTCTCAGCACACACATGAGCTCTTATTAGTTAAACTGCTGATATATTATTACTGATTGTCAGTAAGTGTCCGTTTTCCTTCCCTCCTCTAAAATGGTGTCGCCGCTCTGAGACGCATGCGTGCAGACGCCCCGACGCTTTAATATTGCGTCAGTAAAAACGTCGTCTTTTGAATGGGCGGAGCTTCGCAAACAGACGGCGGGCAAGGACTCTAGTCTAGTCAAATAACTTCACATTTAGAAATCATATTTGCATTAATATGTATGTATGTGTATGTGCGTGTAATCGTTTGACAGCACTAATATATATATATATATATATAAAAATAAAACATTTTAGGAATTTGCCAACTAATTAAAAAAAAAACGAATTTCATTTTGAGACTCCTGATTATTGATTTAATTAATATTTGTTTGATTTTCAGATGCTTGTTGGTAATATAAAATAAATTACATAATAAATATATTAACAAATAAACAAATACATACATTTTTTAATACAATTTTTTATTTTGGGTAAAATATTTTATAGATAAGTGAAAATGTAATAGTTTAAAAAAAAAATTTTTTTTATTATGGATGTAAAAATTTACATAGACTTGATTTTTTTCTTCTAATAAAAAAATCAGTAAAAACTATTAATCTTTATTATTAATCAATCTTTTCTCAACGTGAATTTTTTTTCTCCCCTGAAATATACAGTCAGTCATTTAATATTTTCTATTGTGTCTCTATCAAAATTATGAAAACATGAAACTGAAAATGACCAGACAGCAAAGAAAAGCGAAGTTTTCGGTTGTGTATTTAAAAACAAACCAACACTGGACTCATTTCATAGTTAAATAGCTTTTAATCCATTAGTTAGAATAAGACACAAACTTTTAAGACATCAACAATGATAGTAATATATTGTGTATCACATGATATTAATTGCTATAACTGTGTTTATGTATTTATTTTTATTCAAGTGTGCATTTAAAGTCAACACAAAACTGCATTCCCAATCCATTTTACTTTCTTATATCAGACACATACTCAATAAAACGGCATATTAAACAAGATAAAATCCATGAAATGGTTTGACTTTATCCATAAGGAAGGTGTGGATAATGAAATGTCTCTATATTACAGAAATTTGAAAAATAAGGATTAGTGAGCCAAAATGAAAGATGTTAATACATTTTGATAATGCATAAAGAATAGCATGCACTGATGAATCATTCACAGTAAGACCAGAAACATGCATCAAGAAAGTAAACAGGGTCAGTTCTGATTTCATGTTGACTTCAATATCCTAAATATTCACCGTAAGTGTGAATTTCCTTCAAAGTTCAGTGTAGAAGCGTGTTTTACTGCAGCACGATATAAAAACGGGTCAAAAGCCTTTAGTAAAACCAACAGCACAAACTAAAATCAGGAGGAGAACAGTCAGTGTGGATGAAATTAGTTGGAACACACAAACACACACACTCACTCACACACACACTCTCGCTCACTCACACACACACACACACACACTCTTTAATACGGAGCGTCAGTCACGTTAACCATCACACACGTCACACACGTTACACACGTTATGTCCAGCTTCTCTTTCAGAGATACAGAGCAAATGTTTAGTTTTTAACTAGTTGCAACATTAAGATTTCCCTCTTTTGTTTTTTTCCCTTGTCCCATAGTGCAGCAGCGTGACCTCTGACCTCACGTGACCTCTGACCTTCCGGTCACTCTCTAGTTTTTCTCCTCTTCGTCGCGCTCTTCATCCTCAGAGCCGCGGAGGAACTGCCGGCGGGAGAGTTTCTCCGGGTCGTGTGACGCCATGTTACTGAAATCACGGAAAATATCCTGGAATGTTTCATCGTCTCCTGAGGAAAAGCGACAAGAAGAATTTGTGCTTGTTGTTGTTATAAAGTTTCGCTATAAACAAAACTTTTGATCATGGTTTATGAGATGTTTCTGCTTAATATTTGATTATAAGAAAATCTGGAATGTTAAGTAATGAAGGCTGTACACAAATGATGTGAAAATGTGAAAGTTTTTGTTGTTTTTAAACAATAGCAGATACTGTTCTGATAAACATAACTAATTTTCTTGTTAATTTATTATTATTATTATTTTATTTATTTATTTTTACACATTCAAATGTAACTGTGTATACATAAATTGATTTCATTTAAAATATTTTGTAATTAAAACAATGTAATTGTTTTCATTTAAAATGTTGTAAATATGATAGTATTGTATAATAAAATTCTTTTAATTAAATGTATAAAACCGTTTTATATAGTTAATTTATCAATTTTTAATATAATTATTTAATATGATCATGCTGCTGCCATAAAAATATATATGTAATTATTAAAACATTTTTCATTATTACTATTATTTTAACTTCATTATACAGTATATGTTGGTATGGTAAAGTTGTGATGGTTCTGTATTTTGTGTTGTTATTATTATTATTATTATTTGATTTTTACTCATATTTGTATGCATATGTATGCATATATAAACAAAAGACTGATTTAAGTTCTTAACTAAAATATTTGTAATTAAAATAATGTCAATAATGTTTAATTTAGAATTATGTAAATACAATAATATTTTATATTAAAAATGGTTAATATTTATTAATATTAATACAGTTTTTTAAATGTAAAATACATTTTAATGTAAAATTATTTTAATTAAAATAAAATAATTATTTTATATAATCAATCAAGATTTTTAAATACATTTATTTCAGAATTACAATGCTTTCACCATATAAATACATATGTAATTATTGTTTTTTTCGTTCCATTATTATCTGTTTTTTAATTAATGTTGGTGTGAGAAAGTTGGTGTTAATCAAAAGTAATGATTCTGTATTTTGTTTTGTTACTTTAGATCGTATAACAAAATTTTATAGAATTCAAAAATAACAATAGCTATGTTTCCATCCAAAGATTCAAATTAAATTGATGTGCAAAACTGGAATATCGCATAAAACATTTGTGAATAAAGCACCGTTTCCATCCAACGAGTCCAAGAGAACAAAATCGACACTTCCTGGTAAACTTATACTACTCAAATGTGGACATACGTTTTTTTTATGCGCATTTGTTTAATTTATGCGCATCTTGGCATTTCCATCCAGCGTTTTTTTATTCCAAAATGCGCATAAAAATAGGTGGATGGAAACATAGCTAAGAACATCTTACCAACAGATCCGAAGAATCCCTCTGAATCCCTCATTTCCTCATTCATTCGAGCCATTCTCAACCTGAAACACACACACACACTACATTAATTATGATTTCTAGCACACACAGCACACACAAACACACTCTGATCACTCACAAAGTGACAATGTCAGCATGGGCAGTTTCAATGGCGATACTGAGCGGATCGTTTCCCTTTTCATCAGCTGCATACTGATTGGCTCCTCTCTTGAGCAGCAGACACACCTGCCTGAAGCGACCAATCACAGAACAGCATCACATTAAAACAAATCAACCATCCAATGAAAACCGATTCATTTTACTTGCTTAATAGGGATGTAACGATGAACCGCGAGCCGGTTGAAAATCGATTCAAATATGTGACGATTAAATTCGGTTGAGATGCCAAACAAATCGCGATACAATTGGACTAGGAGTTTACATGAATGTATGTCTGAGGGGAACTGACTGTCTTTAGAAAATTTAATCTTGCCTCTGAACAATGCATATTAAAGTAGTGTTCATAAGCGCAGTTTATGAAACACTGCATCATTGCTGTTCATAAGCGCAGCTCTGCTTTGTTTACAGCCGTATCCCAGGAAACACTGTATCATTGCTGTTCATAAGCGCCGCTCTGCTTTGTTTACAGCCGTATCCCAGGAAACACTGTATCATTGCTGTTCATAAGCGCCGCTCTGCTTTGTTTACAGCCGTATCCCAGGAAACACTGTATCATTGCTGTTCATAAGCGCCGCTCTGCTTTGTTTACAGCCGTATCCCAGGAAACACTGTATCATTGCTGTTCATAAGCGCCGCTCTGCTTTGTTTACAGCCGTATCCCAGGAAACACTGTATCATTGCTGTTCATAAGCGCCGCTCTGCTTTGTTTACAGCCGTATCCCAGGAAACACTGTATCATTGCTGTTCATAAGCGCCGCTCTGCTTTGTTTACAGCCGTATCCCAGGAAACACTGTATCATTGCTGTTCATAAGCGCCGCTCTGCTTTGTTTACAGCCGTATCCCAGGAAACACTGTATCATTGCTGTTCATAAGCGCCGCTCTGCTTTGTTTACAGCCGTATCCCAGGAAACACTGTATCATTGCTGTTCATAAGCGCCGCTCTGCTTTGTTTACAGCCGTATCCCAGGAAACACTGTATCATTGCTGTTCATAAGCGCCGCTCTGCTTTGTTTACAGCCGTATCCCAGGAAACACTGTATCATTGCTGTTCATAAGCGCCGCTCTGCTTTGTTTACAGCCGTATCCCAGGAAACACTGTATCATTGCTGTTCATAAGCGCCGCTCTGCTTTGTTTACAGCCGTATCCCAGGAAACACTGTATCATTGCTGTTCATAAGCGCCGCTCTGCTTTGTTTACAGCCGTATCCCAGGAAACACTGTATCATTGCTGTTCATAAGCGCCGCTCTGCTTTGTTTACAGCCGTATCCCAGGAAACACTGTATCATTGCTGTTCATAAGCGCCGCTCTGCTTTGTTTACAGCCGTATCCCAGGAAACACTGTATCATTGCTGTTCATAAGCGCCGCTCTGCTTTGTTTACAGCCGTATCCCAGGAAACACTGTATCATTGCTGTTCATAAGCGCCGCTCTGCTTTGTTTACAGCCGTATCCCAGGAAACACTGTATCATTGCTGTTCATAAGCGCCACCTGCTGGCAGAGAGTGAATCTGCGTCTCATTCAGCTCGTCTGCTGTTTCCTTCAGATATGTTTTATGTATAGTTTCACAAAACTAAAGTCAGACCATTTGGTTTTTGCTTCAAATTTTGAAATTATACAGTCTAATTTAGATTAAAAACTACTCATGCTTCATGTACGCTGCATCTTTGTTTGGATCATGATTAAAATGCAGTGGTTGCCTCTAATTTTAAATGGGAAGAGCGCAGACAAAGCCTTAGTTTGT